TGTCATGGACCAATCTAACGTTTCAAATAAAGAACCGATGAGATTTTTTTTTATGCGTTTTTTTAAAAAAAAAAGTTATCAAGCTCTTAAAAAATCACCCGTTATATGAAAGGCCATATATGATGTGCATTTCTCTAGTGGCCGCTGTGTTTGAGTGGTTACAGTTGCGTACTATCAGTCCATGGTTCGATCTCAGGTCCGAGCAAGATCTAAAGTAGGAAAAGTTTTTTCTAACATGCGGTCACTCCTTTGCAGGCAATAGAAAACCTCCAAGTGTATTTCTGTCATGAAAATACATTTGCCGTTCGGAGGCGGCGTAAAACTGTAGGTTCCTCAATTTGTGTAATAACATTAAGCCACACACCAAAAATTGGCGGAGAAGCTCGGCCAAACAATTATAAAACGAGTAAGTCCCAAAATATTATTACTGTTGTTATTTCCCTCATACCTCCTAGTGGGCCAACCAGATCTGATTGGAGGATTAACCCCTCTAAGACGGAGTTGGTATTGTTTCAAGGAAAACAAAAGTATCAAATTTTTTCTGCCGAAATTATGGGAAACTAATTAGAACTTCTCCTCTCGGAATCATTCTGAACTGCAAGTTGAATTGGAAACATAATTTAGAGGAGGGAGCCCAGAAATCTCTAGCATCAGACTACACGTGCAAAACGACCTTCGGAAAGCACCGTACGTCACGTATGGGATATGCACAAAAATCATGAGACTAGTTGCTAGCCACGATCGTTACTATGGTGGAGAGCTCTAGACAAATGGAATAACAGCAAATCGGGAGCAGTCTGTAGCGCACCTACAAAGATCGCTCTCAGGCTCAAAGAGGATAATACGTGGAAGGCAACCAATTTTAGTTATGCAGCAGTACTGAGTGAAATAAAAAGGTGCCGGCTTAATGGAATCAAAGTTGACATAGGAGCCAGCACTGATTACATTACGCCTGTTTGGAACTTCAATACGAAGGTATCTATTAGGTTTCCGCCCAGAGAAGAATGGGATGCAAGACTCCTAGTAGCAGAGTAGTTGGGATGTCCATCTGAACTGACGGTTCAAATATTGAGCAAGGAATCGGAGCCGGTCTCCACTCGAATAACCTGCAAATTAGTCCAGTATTTTCAATATACCGAACGATTGTACGTTATGGAGAGGGCGGCTAGTGTTTGACTTAGTGGCTCCACAAGACAAAGCCACTATATTTGAATCTAAAATAGTGGGGTCGGAAATTGTTTGACAATCTTACATCACACTGGCGTCACAGAACCGTACCGACGTCTCTCCATGCTGGGTCCCCGGACATAGCAATAGTTAAGAAAATGGGTCGGCTGATGCGATGGCCAGATGCGGATCAGAGATGCCAACAGAAGAAGCGAATAGCTCCTTACTACCACCGTTTAGTGATCGCGTTAGTAAAATTTATGAATACACCGAGGCTGCCACTAATGACTTATGGAAAAAACGAGTTAAGGTATGAAATACTCCACATACGCCCTTCTAAACCAGCCTAACCTATTATTTCTCTGCAGCAACGATACATACGAATACATTGGCTCTTCGGATGGAACGCAAATCAAGAACGCTCGAAGCATATCTTCAGTTTATCACGTGTTCAGCTTGATTTAGTGATGTCTACACCTTCGGACCGTTTAACGAAATATTCCTGCTTTGCCCATCCTAGCGTTAAAGTGGCCATTTATCACTTCTTTATATTAAAAATAAACTTTATATTAATTTCTCTAGCTAAGGCTTAATATTTATTAAACAAACCAAACATTTTGATTTCGGTTCCCAAATATATGTGACAAAAAATGTATAGAATTATTAAAAAACATGATAAAAAAAATAGAAAATATTTGTATATTTGTATGCAGTATCCAGTTTTGGCATAATTTCATACTCACACAATCATATCCCACTCCTTCTAACCACTCACTTTTCTTCATTCTCTAGGTTACCGTCATCGACACCTCTGATCCAGATTGGTGGCAAGGTAAACTACTGGGCCGCGTGGGTTACTTTCCATCCAAATATTGTGTACGACTGAACGCCAATGAGAAACCGTTACAAGTTACACATAATTTGCAAGTGTCAGATGGTGAGCGAGGAGAAAACATGACGCTCCTCAGAGATCAAATCGTTATACAGGTACCGACTATTTTCAAAATGATATGAAATCTCCTAACATTACTAATTGTAATCCCTTGTGTTTCTTTTCTTTTTCTTACTCTATAATCCAGACTGGCGATGAGGTCAACGGTATGGTGATGGTACGCTCTGCAGACAATCGTCAGGGATACTGTCCCGTCAAGTACCTGCAAGAGGTGTGACAGCCAAAAGAGCCGCCAGCTGAACGTGACAAGCCGCAGAAGTCTTCGCTGTCATCAAAACTTTTAGATAAAACGAAACGTAGAATAAGAATTGTTGTATCCGAGAATGGTGGCAGTGGCTACAATAATTTGAGCCGTGAACCGAGCGCTCCTCCTGCCGAACATGAAATGAAGAATATAAATATCGATTATCATGGCGATTATGGGGAGCCGAGTAGTAGTGAATACTATGGTGGTTTTGATGCTGCCACCAGTGGTAGAAGTAAGAATGACAAGAATTGGGAGAACTGGGAGCGCATAAGAGAACAAAAATTAGAGAAAATGAAAAATATTTGCTTTGAAAGTTACCGTCAATCGAAACGAGATCGAATGCAACAGGCTAAACCGAAACCGAAACAACTCGACCCATCGTGGTACACAGACAATATTTATTCAAATCGTTCCGAGGATCTTGAGGAGGACTATGTGCCAGAGTGCCTAAAGTATGGAAC